TTGCTGTGAGCAGTGATGCCACGGCACTCTACCCAGGGGGATAGCTTGAGGCTCTGTCTCAAAAAAAAAAAAAAAAAAATTTCAAAAGAACCAATAATTAAATTATTAGAATTAATAACTGAATTTAACAAGGTTGATAGATAAAAGGTCAACCAATAACAGTTTTAATTGGGAAATAAAATTTAAAAATAAAATTTATAATAGCATTTAAAATATCAGCTACCTCAGAATATGTATATACACACACATTTATGTGTATATATATGTATATGTATATATATGTATAAAAACAGTATTGGGAAAAAATATTTTTGGGGGGCTAATATAAGGGTACATAGCATTAGGTTACATTATTTTTGTATTTGTAAGATAAAGTCAAAAGTCTGAGTTGAAGCTGATTGAATCTTCTTATTTCTGTTTTTTGGAGACAGAGTCTCACTCTGTTGCCTACGTTAGAGTGCTATGGTATGAGCCTAGCTCACAGCAACATTAGACTCCTGGGTTCAAGCAATCCATCCTCCCTCAGCCTTTTGGGTAGGGAGATACATATATTTAGATTTTTGAGTGTGTATATATTTAGAATTGTTATATCCTCCTACTGATCATTACATGACAGTCTTCTCTGCCTTTCCCCCTGATTTTTGACTTAAAGTTTGCTTATATGATATGAGCTACTCCAGTAGCTGTATACCAGTGGTGGACTGGGTTGGGTGATTCTTGGGTCTTCAGAGGGTGTGTTCAGGAACAGTGAGGGTGGAACCAGGTCAGGCTATACCTTCAGGTCTCCAGTGTTGTATAAATATGCTAGCTGAGTATACAGGGGCATGGTGAGTTTCACACTGTTTGTGGAATTGGTTCAAGTGGAGGTGGTAGCTTTGGCCCTGCTATTGAGGATGACAGAGTTCTTTCCCTGGGAGCAGCTGTAGGCAGGTGGCTTTGCCTGCACTTGGACCTATAAGAGCCATCACTTATGGCAGTTACAGGTAGTGGAATTTGTCCTTGGGGTTCATGAGAATGCATGTGCACCCCTCTGTGGGAGTTTTGCCCCAAACTGATGCCTCTGCCTCAGTTTCAGGGCAGAACAGTTTGGTATGGCCTCACCTTCCAAAGTGATGTTGTGCTACCACTACCTAAAGCTTGTAAAAGAGCTAGCATGAATCCACTCTCTGCAGCAGTGTCTTTGCAGTTTGTAGGGAGCTCTCTGTTAGTACTGGGGCCCACAAGGGTCAAAGGGCTCTCTTGTGGCTAAGATTGTAGGAGTCTATGGAGGGAATGTGGACCACTGGGAGTCTTTCACTTATCCTTTCCCTTGCATTGGGGTGTCTCTTCTGACTCCTAGCTAATCCTAGCCAAGTAGGCTTCCTTACTTCCTTCACTTTCTTTACTTTAGGTGTTTCCTATCACTCCTCTGTTGAATTCCATTTTTCCCTCTTGGATGATCTATTTGAAGTATAATTGTCTACTATTGTGTTCTTCTCAGTGAAGGAGGCAAGTAAGAAATGCCTCTAATCATCCACCTTGAATACTTTCTATGCTGAGTTCTGTAATTAAAAAATGTTAATGACAGTTCAGTTTCCTGAAGTTATCTTTTGGTTCTTTCCAAAATCTGTTATTTTTTTTAATTGTATCTTCTCTTACATATTTTATGCCTTTGTGCTTAAACATATATATTCCTCATTTTCTATTTGATAGTGCTATAATCTGAAGTTCTTGAGGACTTGAATATATAGGGTGTCCCAGAAGTTTCTATACATAGGAAAAATTAACAGACTTGTGTAACAACCTTTATCTTGGGACATGTTCACCATAAGTAGGAGAGAAAGAGATGGCCAACACATACAGAATATTTTGTAATATTTTTCTTTATGTATGGTGACTTTTGGGACACTCTGTAGTTTGTTCATCTTTTGATTCCTACTGAGCTTGGATTGTTTCTCAACATGTCTTTTAGTTTTGAAGTGTGTGATCATTTTCATCTGGGGTTTAGTTCTGTGCCTGAGTTGACGGCATGTCTCTAGAGAAGTTTTGCCCAGTGTTACAGATTATATGACCAACCTGGAACCAAGTTTTATTTTGATTTCTTATCTTGAGATTGAGAAATCCCAAGGAAGACTCTTGTTGTTATTTCTCTGAGCCTAGCAGAAATTCATATGCTATTTTTTTCTGTAATCTGACTTTTCCACTAATGGTATGATTTTCAGTGCCTTTATGTGGGAAATCTTATTTGCTTATGTGCCTTGTGTTGCAGATATCACTATGGCCTCACCTTTTTTTCTGTGTTAAAACAGAAGGCTACTGAGACAAACCTAACCCAACCGTAGCTAACATAACATCAGTTCTTAGTCTTATTGCTATGATTTTTTGCCCTAGAGGACTTCCTTTATATGTTTTTATAAATTTTACTATATATCTAACATGATGTGTCTTACATTTTATTCATTATGTCTCAGTCTAGTGACTATGAACTCCCAAAAGATCCATGAGGGCAGGACCATTCCCAACCCAGTTTGCTATAGCTTTCTCAACATTTAGTGCTTGGTATGATACTAGACATTTAATATATGTTTGTGGAATTAATGAAGTGCTATTTATTACAGATTTATTCATAAAAGTGAAAAATTAAAATGAACCTAGATAATATTTGATAATAGAGTGGTTAAGTAAATGATTATTACTCATATAATATTTTAATCTAGAAAATAATGATCTGGAGGGCTACATTATAAGACTAAAGATTAAACATAGATAAAAAATTAAAATTAAATTTTGACTTTGTAGTATAACTTTAAAATGCACATAGCAAAAAAAAAAAAGACTGAGCAGTGAACACTAAAATGGCAGTAGTAACTTTCATTTTTCAAACTTCCTAGAGTGTGGTTTTATAATAAAAATATTAAGAAGGAGAAAAAGCATAGTAGCATTCTCAAAAGTTTTTAGATTTAAATATACTTAAAGATGGCAAAACATAAAAACTTCAGAATTAGTTTTGTTATTAAAATGTTTGCAGACTTTTATATGAAAACACAGAAAAAGATCTTTCTGATACTCAGCGACACCTTGCTAAGAAAAAATATGAGCTACAGCTTACTCAGGAGAAAATTATGTGCTTGGATGAAAAAATTGGTGAGTTTTTTCTTCCCAATATTATTTTTTTTTTATTAGTCTGGTAGAAAAATATGTTTTCTTTTCTTCGGTTATAACATAGATAAACCTGGAAATAAGCCCTTAACTTAAACGTTTTTGAGTCAAAAATAATGGGAATATACATTTTTCTTTGAAAGTAAAATTTTCTACTTAGGTTTAGGACCATGATTACTTATAATTTATGTTTTAACTTAAAATTTGTCAATGAATTAATAGTTAAACAAACCAGCAACAGTTTGTAAATGTATGATGATTTCTTTTAAATTAAAAATTTTTTTGTATAATATCTTAGCTTGTCCATAGCTGTTGCAATGAACTATATATAGTAGAACCTCCATAAGCTGACCACCTAAAGGATTATGACAAACTGGTCAATATACGGAAGTGGTTAACATAAGGAACAAGGCCTTAGTACACCTGGTGCATATCTGGTCTATGAAAATTAGGTCAACTTAAGGGGACGGTCAGTGTAGAGAGGTGCTCAGCTGTGGAGGTTCTATTATAGTACATTATAATACTTTTGGTGAAAAGCATATATATTTTTGTCTACGCCTAGGGTATTATGTAAGTTTATAGAGAAAATTACTTTTATAAAGTCCCTTGTTCATTTTTTTTATCAGTAGTCTGTAGAAAACATGGTTATAACTTTATCTTATAGGGTAAAATTTTTTTCAGGGAAATAAAAGAGCCTGTTTTCAAGCAGAAGAAATATATTGTACATTTTCTATTACGTAGTTCAAAAATATCTGGCATGAATAGTTAGGTAATTGGAGGTGAATGAAGGGGAACTCCTTTTTGGATATTTTAAGTCCAAGTGAAGATATAAAGCAGGTGGATATTTCAGTTTGTACCTCAGAAGAGAAATCTAAGCTGAAGATATATATTTGGGATATGCCAGCATAAATGATATTTGACAAATATAACAAGAAACCAAAGAAGTCGGAAGAAAATACAGAAGTGTTATTTTGAAAGGCAAGACAGCAAAATGTTTTTAAAAAGGAAGGGTATGATCAATTGTCAGATACCTTTTAGAAGTGAAATAAGATGAGGATTAAAAAAATATTGATTGTATCTGGCACATTGGATGGTTTGGTAACACTGACCAAAAAGCGTTTTAATGGAGTGTTGGATATGGAAGAGAGAGTGGGTTGAGGAAAGAATGGGAAGTGGAGATAGAAAAGAATAGAGAAGTATTTGAAGAGTTTGGCTGTAGTAGCAGGTAGGTAGAGTGAAATGTGAGGTTATGGATTTTTTTTTTAAGCTAGGAGAAATTAGAGCTGTTTTAGAGATTTATTGATTGCCAGTGGGAAGGAACTCATATCATAACACCCAATACTTATTGGTTGCCTTAATGACAGTACTGCCTGAAAAAATAGACATGATATATTCTCCAGTCCTTATAGATCATGCTCTTGGCATATGGCAGTATAGTAGTACCTTCCTTTGCACTATACTTGGATAGTTTTTGGCAGATAATCTCTTAATCATTTAGCAGGGATGAATGTGGAAGTTTGTTCTAACAGAACTCCCCAGTGGTTATCAAACTTCCATGTGTGTCAGCATCACCTGGAGAGCTAACAAAACTCTTTAGAGCCAGACTCCTTCAAGTAGATTGTAGGTTGGGACCACAGCTTTTTTGTCTATACTTTCCTTAAGTAATTCTGGTAGTTTAGAACCTCTACTCTAGACCAATGGTTCTCAAACTTCAATATAAATTAGAATCACCGTGTGCTGTGGTGGTGGTGGTGGCAGTGCTTATTAAAACATAAATTTCTCTGCCTACTCCCAGAATCTCTGATTTAGTAGATCTGGTGTGGGGGCCTAAGAATTTCCATTCCCCAGGTGATGCTGGTGGTGCTGGTTGAGAAACCACTTTATATCAGTCATTTAGGTCTTCAGCATTGACATTGGCTTGCAAGAGTTCTCACAAATCGAATCAGACTTCCTAGGATGATTTTTCCCCCCCTAGGAATTTTTATAACACTACTTTAGAAAAATCAAACTCTTAGAAGAACTTTGACTCCAAAACTGATTTAATTAAATATTTTATTAAGATTTGTTACCAACTTTATGTATAATAGTGATTCTAGACTAGAGGGAGGGGAGGGGAAATTAGCAAGTTGTTTTCATATTCCACCTACTTCATCCTCCCACTTGCTCCTCTCCTACCACACAGGTATCTACCTTGAGAACTTGTGGTATAGATCTGTCTTTTGCTATTCTAATTCAGTAGTAGTGTGCTTTTATATTTACATCATTTAGATTTTTTTAATTCATTGTAATTTTTGATCACTAACAACAAAAACCATTTTTTATTTGCAATATAGTACTCTTATTTTTGCCATTGACTATAATTTAGGAGAACTTACTTTGAAAAGTATTTCTTCTTCAACTAGAAAAAAGGTTTTATCTTTATTAAAACAATACCTTTATGATATTTAGATAATTTTACAAGGCAAAGTATTGCACAACGAGAAGAAATCAGCATTCTTGGTGCAACCCTCAATGATATGGCTAAAGAAAAGGAATGCCTGCAAGCATGTTTGGATAAAAAATCTGAGAATATTGCATCCCTTGGAGAGAGTTTGGCAATGAAAGTATGTTCTCAGAACTGTGGCTTACAAGAAATGTTTAAATGAAATGTTTAAATGTTAAACTATGGTTTAAAATAATTCAAAAATGAATAAAATAATAGGATTTTCTCTTTTTTTACTAGAAAGCTGAAACTTTAAAATCGAACTTTGAAATATTTTTAAATAGTCTTAGGAGGTATATATTTAAATCTACTAGATAAAACTTAAAATTGATTTTTCTGTCATGAATTAGTTATTAAAATCACAAATAATAACTAATTCAAGTATTAAACTGTAGGCTCGGCGCCTGTGGCTCAAGCGGCTAAGGCGCCAGCCACATACACCTAAGGTGGTGGGTTCGAATCCCCAGCCCGGGCCCGCCAAGCAACAATGACGGCTGCAACCAAAAAATGGCCAGGCGTTGTGGCGGGCACCTGTAGTCCCAGCTACTTGGGAGGCTAAGG